ACACAATTTCGGGCCCCTAGAGCTTCGCCATGTTAACTAATCAAATTTTCAGAAGCCTGTAAATGTTCCACTTCCGCTGAAACGCCTTTTCTGAACATCTCTGTCGCAGAGAATAACACTTATATGAATTTTCACCGCCCGTTTGTCGGGGGCTAAAATTATCACGTGATGGTTGCTGCAGGTCTATACAAGAAATGAACAAGTATTTGTTCTGACCGCGGTTCAGCAAATTTGACGAGTAAGAAGGCTTACAAAAAGTACCTTACTGCTACTGATATAGGCAGAGTACGACAGAACTGATGCTTGTCCTTGGGAGTTCACGCCGAGCGTGAGTGATAACAAGTGACTGCGAAATGTCATTTTCTATACACGCCAATGTTATTTAAACTTTCCGCGTTTTCAATATGAATGGCGTTGAGTCTGACACAGGAACTTCTGATCCGACGTTTCGGCTTCCAGCCAAGATGCATCAGGGAAACATCACAAAACAATGATACAGTACAGATGAATAACAAAGAACGAACAAAATTTACGAAACAACCAGAGGTATAAAATACGAATAAACTGAGCAGTAGGAGGGGTGATTGCCATTATGAACCACCGTTTTTATCGCGTTTTATCATTGACTTCGCTAGTTTCAATCTCCTATCTTCAACAATCACACCTCTGCTAATCCATTCTTCTAAAGCTCTTTCATTTCTGTCATACATTGGGGCCTTCGCCTTCTATACCGCTGACGGTTCTTGAATTTTTCTGCACTGCGTCATACATCTCTGTACCGTATCACTGCCTGCTTCGCAAAATGTAATAATTCACCGAATTCGAAGACCTGTGTTCAGAAAAGTAATTCGTTCAAATTTCTCATATATTCGTCGATCCATGGTTATAAGGCGATGTTTAACAGACCATATGTCGCCCAGTGTTAATCGACGTGTTTCGCTGAATTAACGGCCGTCAGTAACGGTAACAACATCAGGAAAACACAATGACAACTGCAATGACGGCCACATGATCATCAATCACAGTCCATTTCCGAGGTGATATGAGTGGCTGTCAGTAGCGAAACGCATCGCTGAGCAATAAACGACTTTTGTTGCGCTTGTCGTGTTTTTAACGTCAACGGGCTTTAACGATGCATCAACAAATGTACAAGAATCATTTAACACCTGGCAGCCAGGCTAGCAATCGATTTCCGTTATTTACAAAATGCAGTACAAAAGCTCAGATGTCTTACGTTGCACCTTAAGCCACACCAAACTAAACATAAACTGTAAACCACCAGCACCGTTACCAGAGTCAATGGAGAGTACTCAAAACTTAGAAAGTTTCAAAATCGTATCGTTCGTAAGTAGTCATACGTTGACCGGTCGAAAGCCAGATGACAAGGGCAAGCGTTTGTCGGTTTATCGTCGGTTGCCAAGTGTACTGAAAGTTTCACTACTCGAGGTCGGATGGCATTCTTAAGACTGCACAATGAAAATGGTGCTATCTTAGCGCAGATCATTGAAAATACGGAGGTGGAATGTTTTTCATACGGTAATTTAGTTGAAAATTCGACAATTCGTTTACTGTATGATACCGCATATCGAATTTAATACACATATTCTCGAACGGTTCGGATTATGCTCGATCCAAGTCTCGTCAGGGAAACATGGTGTAAAACTTGTTTTCTCTGGTTTTAATTTACACTACTTGCCAGAGTCATCCCGTAAAGGACGTGTCGAATTTGTAATTCACCGAAGACTAATATGTTTTTCCGGGAGATGGCTTTTGTGGTGAGACCGCGCACGCGTAAAACAACATAAGAAGTAAGTTGAAAATCCAGCACTGCTCTGCATTACAGAATTATGTCTGTACCATCGTCGCTGTTAGCAAATTAACCAAGTTAAATTCAAGTTCCATTGCACAGTTGACGGTTAAGACAATGCCACAGAGCGCGGGCCTGTTGACAAGTCTACTCTCCCCCCCCCCTTTCCCCACCATACGCATATATGAGCAAACGTTGGCGCAACTGGCCATTAAACCTGACTTAGGATATTGGGCAACTTGTGAAAAAGCGCTGTTTATCAACTGCTAACCGACACCTGCACTTGCTTTCCATTTCCATATCCAGCGGCAAGAGGTCAGAAAAAGTACTTACAGACAGCGATGAGTACATCGTACATTAGCAGTAGAGGAAATCGTTACAACGAGTAAAAATTTCTTAAGTAAACCGCTTCTCTCATGTAATCGATCAAGTTGCTTCGTCGATCGGTATTTCCTTTAACAGCTTTGACGATCGACTGTTACCACTGTCGCTGACAGAATATCTTAACTACATGCACATTTACTTCGTTCTACACAGCTGGCGATCGACAGCGTTAATGCAACAGCTGACATATCAGTTTTTTATAAATATTCCATTCATAGCATTACCATTTAAGGCAATAGTCACGTTAATGATGACGTTAAAAGCAATTATTTTTGAAAGTACTCATCTGTACAAAGATAACATTTGCCTAAGTGTGAAAGTGGCCCTGGAACCGCTCTAAGCGGACCGTTGCCAAAACGATCACGTCCGCATTGTCCTGGGGGGGGGGTCGTTCAGAAAGGCTATACTGTATTGTCAACCGTGCCTCTCGACCGTTGCAGTGGCTTGCTGTGGACGG